GAATGATCGAGAGATTGACAGAATCGTTATTGAAGTGCATAGGCTAATTACGGACCGATCATCATAATCAATCTAACAAATGATAATTAACAACTAGCTTCAAAATTGCTCGGTTGATCGACTGAAGTGTTCGATTGCTTCAGTAATTAGTACTTTCAGTCCTTAATTAGTCATGATGACGGGCTGATCTCAATCATCGTATTCTCGGAACATTGGTATTTCGCGACGGGTAGATAGATCATTACACAACACCTTCCGTTGCCTATATTTTGTTGGTCTTTCGCGACGGGTAGATAGATCATTACTTTACTTGATTGATTGAATGAATAGTTAAATGTCTAACTGCTTGATTGACACGGTAGCTGGTAGTCGGCAAGACGATTGGAGACGAGACGACGGTGCGGTGGTTATCATTCGATTGTCGGATTGATTGTCGGGACGAACAGTCTTTTGTAAACAAGGGTTGGCTGCTCGATTGACTGATTGATTCATTCATTTCGTTCGCCCCCCCTTCATTCACTCGACGCTGTAATCAACTGTCAAGACAAACAGCCGTTTGTAAACACGGCTTGGCTGCTCGATTGATTTTTGACTGATTGATTGATTGATTGATTGATTGATTGGCCGGTAGGTTGGTTGATCGGCGGTTGATGGCGTAGTAGATTGACCATTTGATTGCCGGATTGATTGTCGAGACGAACAGCCCATTTGCAAAGATGGGTTGGATGCTCGATTGACTGATTGATCGATCCTTCGCTCGTTCATTCATTCATTCGTTTCGATTTTGTGATTGATCGTCGAGATGAACAGCTTTCTGTAAAGAAAGTTTAGCCAATTATAGCTTCACTGATTTATTGATTCGTTGACTCGTTGATTGAATGATTGATTGATTGATTGATTAATTGGCAACTAGTTTGATCGGCCGTCGATTGGTTAGTAGATTGATCAACAACCAAAAAGACGAGTTCCACCAAGTGAGGGTGGAGGACCGAGGCCAAAAAAAAGGAAACAAAAGGAGCAAAGAGAAATAACACCCGCAAGGCACCCAGAGGCTCCATCAATATGGAAAATAACTCCCACTAAAGGAGGCGGTCAATCCTTGATGTGATTGGTTTTCAGGGTTCCATTCCAGATCGACAATCCCTAGTCCATAGCCCTTTCATAAGCCCACGCACACACAAGCAACACCCTTACACACACGCACACACACACCACACACACACACACACACACACACACACACACACACAAGCAACACCCTCACACACGTACACACACACAGACCAGAGAGCATCCTCCACAGACACACCCCAGAGAGCATCCTCCACACACATACACACACAAGAGAGCATCCTCCACACACATACACACACAAGAGAGCATCCTCCACACACACACACCCCAGAGAGCATCCTCCACACACACACCCCAGAGAACATCCTCCACACACACACGCGCGCGCGCGCCAGAGAGCATGCTCCTGTTTATATCCACGCACACCAAACACGACACACACCTCCATACACACACAAGCAGAGAGCATCCACCGCTTCTCCATCATCACCGTCATCATCATCCCTATCATCGCCATCATCATCATCCCTATCATCGCCATCATCATCATCATCATCATCGTCGTCAACAACTTTTAGAATGTCGACGACTAGCATCCAACGATCCGTATATGCCTAGATAGGGAAGTTCTTCGCTCGACTAAGCGCTCTTTCCCACTTGGATAGGAAACTCGATAACACGTGCGCCGCGCGCGAGCGAGCCCGCACACACTCACTGTCCAGGGGTCAAGCCGTATATTCTCTCAGTCGTTTGCTTTTTCCGGACGAGACAAAGGCTGTACTACGCAGTAATCTCGTCTTATGCTGATCAAGCAGAGACCACAGGCAGTTGCCGATCTGTGCTGCTGAGGAATTCTTCCCGGGCGTTAAAAAACGTTTTTGCCCCAACTTTCCCTACTATACAATCGTACTGTGCTACTTCAGACTACGTCCTCGCTACGAGTGCTATATCACACCTTGCGATATCCAACCATTCCTGGCGTGCTGCTATGTCGTGCTATGCCGTGCTATGTCCTGCTATCATCGTGCTACATCCTGCTATGTCGTCGAGCTCTGTCCTGCTATGCCGTCCTGCTGTGCCGGACTTGTCTCACTTCGTCATGCTATATGATGTGCCCGTGTTACTATTGATGTTCCCGCGCTATAAAATGTTACCGTACTATGTTCCGTGCCATGTATGTTCCAACGCTACGTTCCCACGCTACGTTCCCTCGCTACGTTCCCACGCCATGTTCCCGTGCTACGCTCCCATTGTATGCCAAGTTCCCAGTGCTATGTTCACGTGCTATGTTCACGTGCTATGTTCCCCATGCTATGCCAGGTCGCATTCCCCATGCGCTGGCTCCATATACGAGGCAAGGCCAAGCATGCAAGAGAGGGAGGATGGTTCCGACACAATCGGCGAAAGAATCACATACACCATGGTGCTCCTGTGGTGCTCCTGTTCCGCAATGCCGCATCCTGCAGAATACATCTTCGTCTCGAGAGAAGACGAGAAAAAGATAAAACGGTACGTCTTCCACTCCTTGAGGACAAGAATGTGTCCTGATGACGAAGAAGGAGAGACAGAGGAGAGACGGAGAGGTAACCGCCAAGAAAGAAGGGAAAGGCGAAACGTACGGAGGAGGGGAGGAGGGAGAGGTGGTTAAGCCCTACTTGGGGAGGGGGGGAGGAAGGGAGAACGGGGAAAGGGAGGACGGAGGAAGGGCGAAGGGTGAAAGAAACCGGGGGGGGGGGGGGGGAGGGGGGTGGTTCATGAGGACAAAAGCGAGGGAGAAACAAAGGGTGGACTGCCGAGAAAGAACGCATGGCGAAGCGCACACAGAAACGCACAGATGCACGCGCAGAGACACGTGGCATCCTCAGAACAACACTTGAAGCCAGAGAAAAAACACACAGCTGAAAACGAGAGCTAAGAACGCCATGCATTGTCCCATAGATACTTACCTATACCTTCTTCCCCCGCACACAACGCACCTTCATCACGACTGTATCGGACCCGAAAGGCAGCTTGATACGGACACGTGGCGTTCGAGGGAAGAAGATAGGAGCGCACATGCGAAACAAAAGGAGGAGGAAGGGACGGAAAAACAGAGAGGGAAAGGAACCGAAGAGAAGCAAGGTGGATCATACACTACCCGTCTTCCCCCCCCCCTGAATAGAAAGTAGGGTAATCGTAATTATCGCTGACTCTAGACAGAAAGTTGGCCCCAATTACAGCTATAACGACCATACACTTGTGTTCGTCATGAGCTGCTGTTGCTTTGATCTTTATTTGTTTGTGTCTTAAGGGTCACGGATAAGATTTGCCTAAAAAAGAAAAAAGAAAAAAGAAAAAAAAAAGAAAAAAAAAAAAAAGAAAAAAGAAAGCACAGAGAAGAGACGAATGACAAGAGACTGAACAACAGACCGATAACCGACCACAATGAAGAGTAGATCACACCTATCAGCGGTGAAACATGGATCTCAACGAGGAGGAAAGCAATCTAACACGCGGTAGAGAGAGGACTGGACAAAAAGAGAACACAAAGGGAAAGGGGGGGGGGGGAAATGAAAATCCCGCAGACGTTGATGAGAAAAGACGAAGAGGAAGAGGCCAGAGAACGAGCACACAAAGACGAAGAGACGACCTGGGACAGACGAGCGGGAGAGAGACAAGCTGGGCCTGACAAGCCGGGACGGAGGAGCTGGGGCAGACACGTGGAGGCAGAGACGAGCACAGAGAGACGAGCTGGGAGAAACGGAACTGGGCGAGACGAGACGACTGAGAAGACGGGAGACGACCGGGGAGAAAGGAGACAACAGGGGAGAAAGGAGAGACGACAGGGGAGAAACGAGACGAGAGGGGAGAGGAGACGACTGCCGTCTTCAGGGCAGGACAGGCGGGTAGAGATGAGATGACGGGGGAGAGACGAGAAGATTGGGGAGAGACGACCTGAGAGAACTGAGCTGGGAGAGGAGCCAAGGAGATGAGCTGTGAGAGACGACATGTGAGAGATGCGATAGGAACCGACCTGGAAGAGACGAGACGAGCTAAGGAGGTGAGCTGGGAGAGACGAGCTAAGGAGGTGAGCTGGGGGAGACGCGATAGGAGAGACTGGACGGGAGAGGAAATCAGAGAGACGCGATAGGAGAGAGGGGATGGGAGAGGAAATCAGAGAGACAGAGACGTTGGAAAACTGCGACAGAAGGGGTGAACAGGGGGCTAACGTGACGACAAGCCGAAAAGGGGATGATGACAAGGCGAGACAAATCCGAGGCGAGGAAGCGGGGCGTGAGAACCCAGCGGTTGAAGAGTGGACAGGAAGTAACAAGCTATGAAAAAGAGGGGAGGACAGATGCAGGAGGGCGCAAGAGGAAAGGAGCGGTGTAGGACGAGGGCAGGCAGACGGTGGAGTTAACAAGGAAACAAAGGGAACGGGAGGAGGAAAGGTGAAGAGGGTGACGCGGCGGCAGAGGGAAAGGGCAGAGACCGACACGAGGCAGATAAAGGCACGCCCGCGTGGGGAGGGACAACGACGAAATACGCGGGTACATCCACACGAAGTAAGCCACTCATTTTCCTGCTCCTGCCAACTAATCGAAGAAGCATGAATATCACCACAAACGTGAACAGCAATGTCATTAGACCTTGACGAGCTAATCACTTGATTGACTGGTAGATCATGCGGACTGATTGAGCCAATGATACAATCTTTGAGTTCATTGATTTGATTGATGCGATTGATGCCATTGAGTAGGCTGATTTGATGGAAAAGCTGAGTAATTAGACAAGTTAGACGAGGATACATTTGATAGATTTGGCGATCGATAAGATTAGCCCAGAAGAAGAGACAAAGCGGATTTGACATTTGATTGACTTAGATCAAAGAAGAAGAGACAAAGCGGATCGCGGCGAGCGAGTGAACTTGCCACGCTCGTTCTCACCTTGACAGCCCGAGGCCGAACGAAAAACTGATTCTTCTGGACGTAACCATTGGTCCCCGACCCGCGAGGGGTCTGGAGACCAATGCCATTGTACATAGCGACCGGTCGTTGTACTTCTCTTTCCTCGTCTTCACAAAGCCCACGAGTGACCTGAGCTCATACTCTGCCTCCTCTCTCTCTCTCTCTCTCTCTCTCTCTCTCTCTCTCTCTCTCTCACACACACACACACACACAGACACACACACACACACACACACACAGAAAATCACTATTTGCGTCTGCTTGCCCCAAGTCAAGGCTCCTCTAACACGAGAACTCGATTCTTGAAATATGGCGGGAACTCAATTCTTGAGATATGGCGGGAACTCCATTCTTTAGATATGGCGGGAACTCCGTTCTTGAGATATGGCGGGAACTCAATTCTTGAGATATGGCGGGAACTCAATTCTTAAGATATGTCGGGAACATAACTCTTGAGATATGGCGGGAACATAACTCTTGAGATATGTCGAGAATCCAACCTGATCCAACCTGCTAGCCGTCAGCTCGGCTATCTGCTTGCCAAGTCGCAATTGGACTTTCCTGAATGTATTTGGCGGCAATGATGGCCCAAATCAATCCAAAGAGTCGAACACTCATAAAAGCGTCACATCCCGACAAAACTGCCTTCCACAGCCCGACGATCAGCTTCTTGCGACCTCCCTCCACCAATCACAAAGGTCAGCCTATGCGGGCCACAAACCGCCCGTGCCAGCGACCGGCTTCTCCCCTTACCAACGACCGGTAAAATACAAATACTAGCTTGTGGCTCTGTCATCCATTCGACACACAACCACCTCTCTCTCTCTCTCTCTCTCTCTCTCTCTCTCTCTCTCTGTCTGTGGGGTTGCATACGTCTGCGGCCCGCCACTGTATAAATTTGTTGTCCGCCTGTGAATCGACCATCGGACACCATGGGACTTCTCTAACATGGGACTTCTCTAACTGTACATAACCGGCTTTCAGATTGGATTCATTCGGAAAAACTCCTGAGTACGGGCTTATTCGCTTTCGAGCTGGCTTCATAGCACTTCGTTCCTTGCATTTTCCCTGAAAGGCACCCGGCCCTCTGCCTGTCTCGTAAGAGCCTGTTCAGTCGGTCGGTCGGTTCGTCGTAGTCGGTTGCTCAGCGCCGGTCGCTCAGCATCAGTCGGTTCGTCGGAGTCGGTCGCTCAGCGCCGGTCGCCCATCCACTCCTCGGCAAAATCGATGCGATACCGCTTTCGGTGCTCACGGACTTAGGCTCCTGTTTGCAGCGGCAGCGGACATCCGCTTAGTGGACCTCCAGGTCCCCAGACGCCCAGCCATCCTCCTGGCGCAGTGCACCATCAATAGCGGTAGAGCTCCCCGCCTACGTAGCATAGCCTGGCTGCAACTGTATTGCTTTCCCAAATTCGTAATCGCCTTGTGGCACGTGGTTAGGACCCTTCAAGGTCTCGCGCATGGGCGACCCGAGGTGGATGGGACGTGATTGGTTTACCCGCAGCCGAAGAGTTCGCAGCCCGTCAGGGGTGCGTTTTATATGCCCCTGAGAACATTTTCGTCGTCTTTCGTTATACGGTCGTTGGAAGGCTGGAAAAACTGACAGACCGCGAGGGCGCGGGCCCGCAGCCCGTAGCGAGGCGCAGAGTGCGGGAGCAGGGGAAGATGCAGTCGGCGGCAGATGTGTCTGCTGTTGTCAGCGTGCGGCAGCAGAAGGCGGGAAGGTGAAGGACCTGGTTTGTGTGCGACATTGGGTGGGGTGGGCATGCAGTCGCGGTGTCCAGAATGGACTGCCGGTGGAGTGGTAACAGGCCCGAGCCAAAGCTTGTAATTGCCAGTTATGAGAGTGAAAAGACCCGAACAATTATCGTGGCAAGTACGAGCTCAAGAACCCGACCTGTGTTTGGGCTGTGTAGCGCGGCTATGTGCGGCCCTGTCACGCTGTTGACTGTGTGGGGTTTGATTATGGTCAGGATGGTTTTTGGCATGTGTCGTTCCGTGGCGATGTGATCAGGTTTTGTTGGTCCGCGTCTCCTTAGAATCGCTCAATTTTGGGAGCATCGTCTTGTATGGCTTCTGTCTGAACTGTGGGAGCGGTTGTGATGAGGGTCGAGAACTGTGAGGGCAGTTTTTTTGTCGTTGATGTGATGCTCATTTTATAGCTGATATGAAGAGAGATGTCTGGTATAAAGAATGTATGTTGTTAAGTGTAGTCAACGAATCGGGTGGATATGTGGTTTTTGTTGCACTTCTTTGGGCCCATTGTGGGCATGAGTGTGGGTCAGGGGAGATGGTCTGACATGTGTTTGTAATATGTAGTTTGGAGCAAAAACATGTTCAGGAAACGGCAGCGTTTTGGGCAATGGACGCAATGTCGGTTCTGAGATTCCAGGGCAGTACAATTGGAGTCTTGGCAACGGGCATTAAAGAGAGGCTGTCGATATGTGTAGGGGGATGGGATTGGGGAGGAGTGGCAGAGATCGAGTTAGATGGCATGACCTCTTATGGTGTTAAGTGATCTGCGGTTCAGTGTAGTCTTGGCAGCGGGCATTAAAAAGAGGTCGTTGATATGTGGAGGGGGATGAGATCGAGGAGGAGTGGAAGAGGTTGATTTAGATGGCACAATCTGCGATGGTGTTAACTGATCTGTGGTCGGTATTCTCCATGTGTTGTGGCATGTTTTGGAAGCACTGACATTTGTGTATGTATTGGTTAATGTTTTATCACGCCATCGGGCATCGAGGATTCACATTGAGCGGTAGAAAATGTGTTTTTAATTGGACAGGCCAACTAACCATTATCATCTTGGCATTTTTGCATACATGTTCAGTTGTGCTATGTTGTGTCCATTGTTGGCTATTATATTGGTCTAAGCAGCCAAATAATGTGTGCACGAAGAAAAGAGGATATTTTTTTGGAAAAAAACATGAGCATATGATGCGAAGAGGCGGTGTCGTTGTTGGATTTGTAGCATATGTAGGATGGTGTGATTTTCTGTTTGAGTGTGTTGTCATGTAGCAGTAGGCGAAAAAAAGCATTGGGCGGTAGTTGGAACAACCATTTGCACATAGTCATTCAGTGATATGTGGGAGGTATAGGAAAAAAAAATGATTGTGGGGGAGGAAGATGGTGACATTGTAGCCATACGATTCGATGGTTCATCATTGTTGTTGGATCTGTAGCATGAGTGGGATGAGGATTTGGAGTGTGTGTTGTCATGCCTGGTATACGGAAGTCTATTTTCTTTGAAGAAAACATGATTGTGGTATGGTGTCTCATCAGATGGTCAGTGGTTGGACATGAGGTTGAAGCGTGGAAGTTCTCAGCATACATAGTCATCCGGTGATATGTGGAAGGTATGGAAAAAAAAAATGAGTGTGGGGGAGGGAGACGGTGACATTGTAGCCATATGATTTGATGATTTGTCATCGTTGTTGGATCTGCAGCGTGTGCAGGATGAGGATTTGAAGTGTGTGTTGTTATGTTTGTTATACAAAAGGTCATTTTTCTTCAAGAAAACATGATTGTGGTAGAGTGTCTCATCAGTTGGCCAGCGGTTGGACATGAGGTTGAAGCCTGACAGTTTGGTCAGGATGCAGCGATTTGATGAATATAGACTTACCATGTGGTCGATGGTTAGGCATACCAATTTTGTAATTGTTGTAGGTTGTTGATTCCATTTAGTGATGTGTGTGAGGTGTAGAAAAGAAAGATGACTATGATAGACTGTTTTTTTCTTCGACGATACTCTCAAGAAGCAATCATAAGAAGACATTGTGAGGATCATAACAGAACGTAGCTTCGTTTGAGTCAATATAAATCATTTATCTCTCATCAGTGAAACTAACATTAAGGAAGGCAACACCAAGTTTCTGATGAGGATGAAGAGTCTTTGATGTCGAAAGTTGCAGCCACGGTTGCAATGTCATTGTTTTTAGCACACAACAATGTCAGGAGTAGATAGTTCACACGATCACGAGGATCTTTAAGGGTGAGTGCGTTGAGGGCGCTGTAGTCATGGTGAGTCCCAGAGGTCTGGCCACGGCAGTGTTCTGACAAGGGATTCAGGATGTTGCATATAGTCAATTGTCACTTTCTCTCCCCCCTTTGTTCATAGGCTCTGCTCACTGTTCTAGTTCCGGCTTGTAGGGCCTGTTTGGACCTGGCTACAGGCTATAGGATCCGCCTATCAATGTAGGCATGTAGGCCTGTCTGCTCCAGCGGTAGCCCGGGTGCGGTATTTGCAGGTAGGTCAACTGTAAGAAATCCGAATTAGCGTGGGTCTGAAAGTCTGCAACTTTGCAGATATGTCACATATGAATTTTTTTGGTCTCATTCATATCAGTTGGTGACAGTTGGGACATTGAGTTGTACATATTCATTTAGTGATGTGTGTGAGGTGTAGAAAAGAAAGATGACGTTGACAGACTGCTCGTTTTTCTGACGACACTTTCAACCAACAATCATAAGAGGACAGCATGAGGATCATAACAGAATGCAATCTAGTTTGAGCAAATATCAATCGCGAATTGTTGTAGAGTTCTTTATCAATATTGCACCGACAGTGAAATGCATATCACATCTCTAGTTTTATAGTTTGTTGGAAGTGTTCCACCGAAATGTCCTCTCAGAGGGCAGTGTTAACTAGAATGATAAAGGAAGTCAGCGTTATGTTGAAAGCTGCTACACAGTAGTCCAAGAAGAAGTAGCAGCAGCAGTGGGAAGGTTTGGCCATGGCTGCCTTCTGACGAGGGAGTGAGGAAGCCGCCTGTAATCAATCGTGATGTTCATTCTCTCCTTCCTTCGTAGCTTCTGGCTTATGTTTCCGGAAAGACAAAAGCACAATGTCCAGCTCAAAAATGTGTCAATGAGACCGGCTGAGTTCTATGACTAGTCGCAGTGTAGACCCAGATTTGGACTGGACCGCCTGGCATTGTTTCAGTTTCGGCCTCTATGAGAGGATCCGTCTGTCAGCGTATGCCTGTACACCTGTCCGTTGTAGGGGCAGCTCGGGTCCGCTATTTGCAGTTAGGGCGACTGCAGGAAATGCAGACCAATGGGGGCTTGAAAATCTACAAGTTTGTGGACACGGCTTCTACAAATTTCTTGTGTGGTGGATACCATGGTTAATTGTTGGTGTGAAAATAATCATGAATCCGTAAGCAGCGGAATGTAGACATGTGAGTGTCTTGTGTTGAAGGACCGACCGTCGAGGTCGCAGTGCGGGTGGAAATGTGATATGAAGGCATGTGTATTAGACAATGT